ACTGTTTCCTTGACAACAGACTGGGGGGGGGGGGGGGGGGAAAACAACACACACACACACACACACACACACACACACACACAGAGACAGAGGGAGTTGAATATTTTGTTGGAAGTTTTGTAAGGAGTGTTTTCATTGTACAGCATATAAGAACCTAACGAGCAAGAGCTGACAGCCTTCTCTTTCTGTAGGAATTAAATCCCCCTCCCCCAGCTTCCAATATTTTGAAAGCTGCTTTTCTGGTTACAATTATTATTATCACATAATTAGATGACTCTCATGTATTTGTTGACACTGCACTGAAATATGCTTCAGGTGTGTGTAGTTTTGCTAAAATTTCAGCTTGAAACGTTTCGTTTTAAAACATCTTTCTGCTCTCAAAGGGTTTGGTGAATATTTTCAGTACTCTGACAGGTTTATTTATACTGCAGAGATGTTGTCAGTAAGAACAAGTATGAAGGACCAAATTCCATATTTAACCAAAGTTCACGAATTAAGGGATAAATTTAGACTTGTGTTCACACAGGCAATCCCTAGAAATGGCAGTGGGTGGTTAGCTTGGAGGTCAGGGCTTAGAATATGGTATTTAGGAAGATTCTGCAGAAAACTCAGCTGTGCCTGTTTTTTATGTATGTGGGGTGGTTTTCTTTCGTTGTGTTTCTACTTTGTTTTTTTAATTCTGGCTTTTTTGTTAGGTTGGGTAAAATTGGTACTTTGGGTTGAAAAGTTTAGTATTTTTTACTTAGCAAAGTGTCTTGGCACAGATGTCTAAGTTTAAATGTTAGTTGTTTATGGCATAATCTACTGGACAATATAGGGTCATCTTTCAGCAGCTTTTAAAGATGCTGATCCTTGTCTTTGCTGGTTGCAAAGTGATGCTTCAAGTAGCTAATGTTTTCTGAAAACATTTCCCGTTTCTTTGCCTAAGCATGGGCGATTAGATTAATAGGGATAGGGAGGGCCCAGTTTTTAAAAATCGTATTAGCTGTTTCATGAAGGAAGACTATTGTCTAAATAGGCTTCTCTGAATTTACTTTTGCAATAACTACTCAAATTTTTTGAGGGGAGAATTTAAAAATTACAGAGTGACTAGATCAAGTGGGCTGTATAGATACATACAGTAACCTGAATTCACCCCCTTCCTCAACTATATGAATGCTTTTAATTAGTAGGAACAGTTAAGACTGAAGTTGTTTTCTTGTTTGTTGTTTTGGGTTTTTTTTGTTGTTTTTTTTTTTTTAAAACAGAGCACAAAGTGTTGAAAAGCTTCTTTCATGCTCATGGCAGCTTTAATAGAGATGAATACAAATCATATTAGTATTACTCTTCTCTACGTAAGAAATCATTATGCTAATGCGAGGAGAATTTGGCAAGACCAGTATTTTGTAAAGTGACTTTCCCGTTAAGAATGTATTTCCTTTTTAATCTGAAATACCATCACATAATTTTGTAACCCTTTAAAAGGGGGTGCAGTGAGGTGGCAGTGTTTGATTGCATTTATCAGGAGTAACAGGAACTGGGGAAACTGATGTTCTTCATACTTGGTTGTACTCCAGTTTAGAGGGGCAGAGCTGGGGACAGACCAACAGTAAGAGTCTCTGACCCATAGTAGTAGCTGGAAAAGCAAGTATGGGGCTGCATGAGAAACATATTAAACCAGTGGGATGTTACCACCAGTCTTTGACACCTTGTCTGGGAGAGTTAATAGCTGATACAGATGTGTGGTGAAAACTACTATTAAAGTATGGGAAGTCTTGCTTGTGAAGACAGCCTGAACAAGAAAATAAGTAGTATAGATACAGTGGTAGGAATGTTTCTTATTCTAAAACATGGGGTGGGAAGTTTTGCATCTTCAAAACTTACTGAAACTTCTTTATAGATTGGCCTGTGGAATTCTTGGTTAACAGTCAGAAAGAGATCTGTTCAAAAGGCTTTGTAAAGTGTCCTTAGTTAAATTAGGTGGATTTTTCTCTCTTGAAGAGAAACTCATAACTTGAAATACGTTCCTTAATGCATAATTAACCTGTAAATGTTAAGGAATAAATGTGTCTCAGTTTTTTGTTTGTTTGTTTCTTTTGTGCATTATTTTGTAATATGTATTATTGACCAGTTCTGGAGAGAAGGCAGAGTACGAGAACGCTTCTGTAATCCAGAATGGCAGAGTTAGTCTTCTGTGATTGCCCTCCTACCATAGACTAAATAGATTATATATTAGAGGCTCAGAGGCTTCAGGATTAAAAATAACAATTATTACAAATTAGCCATTCCATATTTTTTTTCTGCTTTTTACTCTCTCTTAAATTTCACTTAACATGACTCATGTTTTACATTCTCTGATATATAATTCTTCTGTTTAAAAAAAGAACCCCCCCCCCCCCCGCCAACTTGGTTTTAGTATATGCTAGGAAAATGAATGAAAGTAAATGGTTTGAAACAAACACGTTCTTGAAACACACTAAAAATACAATAGATCTTGGACTCAATGGGAGTACTTGGTTAGTTCAAGCAAAAGACATCTGTGATCTCTAGGCTGGATTTCTACATCCATTGCAAGTACAGTCAGCACAGGGTTTGCAAGTCATTAATTTCTAGCTTCTGTTAATGAACTGCTTCCTGTCAAATACCTACCAAATAGCAGTATTAAACTACTTCTCCATGATTTGCTGATAATTTTGCTGTTTGCCTTACCTTACATAGAGAACTAACTAGATAATGTAAATGAAAAAAGACACCCAGCTGAGAAGTCATCATTAATCACTACTACAAAGACAACTCAGCGTTTCGTCCCTGCTCCTCGCCCAGTGGAGCTGATGCGGAGACCCTCACCAGGGCGCTGCAGCCCCGTGTGCCTGCCCGCAGGCAGGTGGGACCATGCGAGGGAGCGAGCGTGGTGGACGTAGTTTTTATTGAACTTCCCTCTCCATGTTATCGAGAGTTACAGAGATGTGGAACTAGTGAGGAAGCCCCAAAGACTGTAATACCCTCGATAAAGGTGTAGATAAGGCTTCAGATGTGATGTAGCAGCAGATGCGCTTGCTGTTGTGAATTTGAGTTGAATGTAGAATATCAAGTGTGCTGTTATTGCTGCTGGGGTATCGCTGCTGCTAACGTTCTCTTGGATTGGTAGCTGTTGTCTGTTTTTTATAAATCTTTTTGTGATAACTCACACGCACCAGAGAGACTGGGGCAGAAATAGTACTACAAATAACATCTACTGCTATACTGTTGGGGTTTTGGTTTTGCCTCTCTCTCAAACCAAGTTGAAGTGAGATCATTAAAACATTGTAATAAAACTGTGTTAAGACTGATTTGCAGATGGTTTTGATGTGCTATAGGTAATGACTAGCTAAAGACAAATAATTCTTTCAAAATCTAATGTAATTTTTTTCTGAGCTATTTTTTTTCTTCCCTCTAAGTTCGCAGGGGAAAAATCCACACAAAACAAAAGAGGAAATGAGGGAGAATGAAACTAGATACACAAACCACCCTTGTATGCAAATGGAAAAATGTTTTCCTCAAATATGTTTCAGTTAAAGTAACCTTAGAATTTTGCACTTGTAATAATCGTGGAGTAAAAATTTTTAGAGAGGGGTTTGTTGGTTGTTTCTTGGTTTTGTTTTTTTTAGGGCTTTTTTTTTTTTTCCCTTTAAGTTCAATGCTGTTGCTTTAAATAGCATGACTGCCCGGTGTCCCCTCACAAAGAATAACAGCAGCTCTTAAAGGGACACTGTCAGCGTCAGCCTCCGTCTCCACCTCCGTCTCCACCTCCCTCTCTGCTCGCTCTCTCCCCTTCCCCCCCCTTTTCTTAATTTTAAATTATGTTCTGGTATATTTTTAAAGTAACACAGGGTGATTTTCTCTTTCCTGGCTAAAGATAATTATCAAGAACCTCTTTGATAAGTGAGACAAAAAATATGTATGTAAAGACACACAGCTGCATGAAGATTTGAGTAAATGTTTCTTTATCCATTGAAGTCAGTAAGACTACTAAAAATTATTGTGAGTCTAATCCAGAAGTATTGAAATGTAGGGCAGGAAGAGACCTGAAGAGATCATGTTTTATGTATTCCATCACCTTAAAAAAAAAAAAAAAAGGACAGATTTTTGTCTAACATATTCTTTAAAATGTTGAAGTAACTATTCTATACCTTAAAGATACTGATGCACCATGGTTGACAACAAAACCAGAATATTCTGTCCTATGCACAGAAAATGACTGACAGCTGTCTGTCCTTCATATGTTGAAAGATCATTTCTGTCATTCTCTCTCCTTTGTTCTTCTCCTTTCCTTGTTTAGATTAAGCAAACCCAAATGATTCCTTCTTTCTTACGAGTGTTAAACCCATGTACTGTCAAATATATTAAGCAGATGCAGGTGATATAAAAATCTGAAATTTTATAGCTATTAAATATTATTCAGATAATATCTCTCTTCCCCTTCTGTCTTTTTCCTCTTCTCGCAGCTGGTGTTCTTCCTAAAGCATCTCTTCCTCACTCAGAAGAATCCTATGCTCATACAGAAAGGATTATCTGAGCCAGGATGCTCCATTGTCCTCAATCTGAAATTTCCATTTTCATTTACAAAATGTTATGGTTCATCTGTCCATCTGCAGCGATCATTGTCATCTGTGTCAGTCTAACTGATGCACGTTTGCCAACTTGAATTTGCAGGGAGCCTGCAAGAAAAAACTCGGAAGTGTGAACTGTCCAGTTCTCTAAACCCATTACTGGAAATGATTTGAACAGTTCTATCCTTTCAAAAATGGGAACGCTGTGCAGTGTAAATTTTTTTTCTTAAAGGAATGAAACTTCAGTATAGGTATTTCGGGGAGTATGCAGTGTTCTGAAAGTACCCTGTGTCTGCCTTGAAATAGCTATTTTGAACTGATACAAGGCAAAACAAAACTCGGTTTGTCATGTTGTGTGTTGCACACTTATCAGTACTAGTCTGTTAAGATTTTTAAAGGAAAGCAAATAAAAATCATTGTCTGAACAGGGGCATGTTGAAGGATTGCTCTGCTGTTCGATCACTGATCCATAGTATATGGTATGTTTTAACATAGTTTTGTGAATAACTACATCATCTACTTCTAGAAAGTATTTTAACAAATTGCTGTTTTTCTGATACCTGTCAAAAATCGACAGATACTGACTAATGAAAGTGCTTCTTTCTTGATTCCAATATAATAACTAGTAAGCAAGGAATAAAAACAATGTAGTTTTAGCATTAGTTGGAAATAAAGGGAAGGAGGAGAATCAATATTTGCTAATGCAACAAGGGAGGAGAAGAATCTGTAGGAAAAAATAGTTTAATGCTTTTCCTAAGAGCAATGCAAACAGTGAAGGAATAAAAACTATTTAGAGAACTACTTGACATTCATTTTTTACCTCTCCCGTCTTTTCATTTGAGAGCTAGGGCACTCAAAATCTGAAACTTACTCAAGTTTCAACGTGTTTCTGTTATCTTAAGGTTATTTTATGTTTGTATGGTTTTAGATCCTCCTGGTGCAAATAGTTGTGGAAATGTGGGGGATGTGAGAAGGATATGACGCATATTAAACTCAGTGTGATTATTCATGTGCATAAAGCTGCTTATATGTGGATATTTGTTTGCAGCACTTCTAGGTCTTGATGCTGTTACTGTAGTGAGAGGAGACTTTGGTTTTACAATAGCAATTTACCATGCTATGGTTAAAAAGTGTTAAATAACCCTTGATTATCTACAACCTGTACAGGAGTAGAGCTGCTTTTGCCTTTCAGGCTTGCAAAAGAAATTTGCTGCTGTATTAATTGTGAGCAAATAGAAAATGTTAGCCAGAACTCAACCATTTCTTTCTCCCTCCCTCTTTCTTTTCAGTGATTTTTTTGAACGCACCATTCTGTGCAACAGCCTTGTGTGGAGCTGTGCTGTCACAGGTAAACCAGGACTCACATATCAGGAAGCACTGGAATCGGAGAAGAAAGCCAGACAAAATCTTCAAAGTTTTCCAGAGGCACTCATCATTCCAGTTCTCTCTCTGGCCACCCTTACCCATCGCTCCCGACTTCATGAGATCTGTGATGAAATCTTTGCTTATGTCAAGGATCGGTATTTTGTTGGTGAAACAGTGGAAGTAGTTAGAAATAATGGTGCAAGGTAAGTATATTTAAATACGTATTTCTTTCTGTTTGGTGTGCGCTTTTTTAAAACCAAAATCAGGATAATAAACTCCCAACACATCTGAGGTGAGGTGTGATGCTTAAGCTAGTGATACCGTTACTGCTCCTCCCTACTTTAATTAAGAGTAGGATTGTACTGCTGGGCTTGGTATCTCCTTCCATAGCTTAGAAGCAGCTGCGGAGGCAGGACAGCTCTCTCAGGTCTTGACACTGCAGTTTTTTGTCCATATGGTGGATTTGCAAAAGAGTGTCAGTTCTGTGTGAGAAAGGTGGGTTGGTTGGAGAATGAGATTTAATGAGAAACTAGGGGAAGCTATGAATTAAAAATCATACGAAAGTTGTGATGAATCATGCAGAATGTAATTCATCACATGGTGTTTTGTGTACTGGGAATGACCAAACTATTGAAAGCTTAAAGAATTGCTGAAGATTGGATTTTTCCTTTTTTTAAGTAGTAGCGAAAATTGTGACTACATTCTTGGAGAAGTTGAGAATTAATAATAAAATATTTGTAGTAGATGATTATCTGGGACTTGGTGTGATGTTATGTTATGCTTACTCTTGTATTGATGCATATATTGGAAGTGTTTTTATTGTTATCTTAGACTGAAAAGTTGGAAGAATTTTGAGCTTCAGATGCTTTCTTTCTTATATCATTGGTACATCTGCTCTGTAGTATAAATAAGTTGTTTTACAACATGTAGCTAGCTTGAGTCTTTCTTTAAAGCAGCTTCTGGAAGAGGACTAGGAAGGGTCCACATTCTGTCTAAATAAATTTGCAGTGTCACCTAACTGAGGTTTAAAATGGGAGACTTAAAATGCTTCAACTTGGAGATACCTGCAGAATGTGTGCTAAACCCTTTATGGGTTCAGCTGTTGCTGTGTGGTTTTTTGGTGGGTTTTTTTTGTTTTGTTTTGTGTTTGTTTTTTTTTTAGTTGGTTGGTTGTGGGGTTATTTTTTGCTTTTTTCAGGAGGAAGGTGCCATCTTACACTACAGAGTAGACAGGACTTCTGTGGGTAGCCTGAGGTCTCTGCGTAATCTGGTATATATTGGGTGATGGGAGTGGGCTGGTTCAAAATGGTCATTAGAGAGCACAGTTACTCTTTATGAGTTGTTATAGTGGCTGATCCGGATCTTATTTAAGGCAAATTTTGTACTACACCGGAAAGAAAAATCTGTTGATGTGCTACAGGAGGTAAGTTGTAAGGAAATTTTTGTGGGTATCTGCATAAGGTCAGTGCTTAATAGGGAACTTTTCTGTATTTTCCCTGCTCTCTTCCTTTCAACCAGTGAAGTCCCAGTCTACAAAGCTAGAACAAGAACAACTTCAGTAGAGTTGCTGCTTTCTGTACAGAAAACCTGTATGGAAAGTTTGTTTCTCTTTTTCTCATCTTTGCACTTGTCTAATGACTAGACCCAGGTTACCACTACTATTACAGTCATTTTGCTTAGAGAATAAGGTTGTTTTTTTTTTTTTTAGCTAGAAACCTGAATATTATGAACTGTCAGTGTAGTTCAGCTGTTGGTTTTCATTTGCTCAATGAAATGCCTTTGTTGTCAATATTTGACGATAGTCAGTTTCCAAACTAATAGTAGAAATAATGTTTTAGAACAACAAGCTTTCTTCCCCAAGAACAACCCTCCTGTCTTTCTCTTAGTTTTCTAAACTCTTCACTGAAGTATTTATGTGTATATGTCTTAGCTTTTCAAAGCTTAAATGAAAAATAGGCTTATATGTAGTAAATACAAGTCTGTCTTGTTTCTTCATCTTCTGAAATTCAGAATCCTTTTCACTCTTTTATCATAAATTGTTTTTTAAGTTTACCCTAACAAAATGATTCCTACTTACCATGTAAGCTGAATTCTGTTCAGATAAAGTTGTGATATGATTCTGTCTCATGAAGATAGTGCTATCATTCTTTTACCAGCCTTTAATTCAGTCTTCTTGGTTATTCAAAATTATGTTGAGATACATATCTAACTATTTTGTGTTTATGTTCCGCTTTCACAGATCAATATATTAATAGGATATAGGTTAAGTTTCTTAAGCCTTTGGGGTGGGCTAGATATCATTCAAAATACTGAAGATTCAGATAAAATCTATTTCCATCAAAAATTAACGTGCTAGAGATTGTATGTTTTAAAGCTACATAAGTATAGATTTGTGTTTGGTAAAATGAAACATGATAAATTAGCCTTAGCTGATTGTATGCCACTGATGTTCTAAGGCCAATGTATAGCAGAGAGCTAGTTCAGACCTTTAATACTAAATCCAGGAAACAGTGCAAATAGCGTGGTAATACAGAGGGATTTTTATGCTTAGAGATACATAATTAAAGACTACAAAGTGGGAGGAGGTGAGGCATAGTTATTCTTCTGCCCAATTAACAGTTGACTTTGACCTATATTTTGAAATACTACATTGGGGATTAAGTATACCAACTCATGTTACTTGTAAATAACACAACTGTTCAACAGAACGATTTGTGCGTGTTTGTCCTGTGCAGCTATGTTTTTGTGATCTTTTCTAGGTCACAGTCCACCTATAGTGTAATAGCATCCTATCAGACCAACAGAGTTTGGCATATCATGAAAGCCAAGTTGTGTTGTAAACTCTTCTGCTGCATTTATGTATGAAGTTTTTTGCACGTGTAATGTCAGCAGGATCTATTGTTATCTGAGCTCTGTGCATCATTTAATGCGAAGCCTAGAACATAATGCATGTGTAAGCAGAGGTTGCTCAAGCAATTTAAGTATTGGTATTTTATAACTCCTAACTTTGCACATGTAATATTCTTGCAGGATAGGTTGCTTTGATGCAGCTTCCTAAATTTTGAACAAAGTAAATGGCAGGGAACCCAAACACTGGAAGGGTTAGCCTTTTGACAATGTAAATGTTTTTATCTTGAGCATATGAAATAGTCTATAGTACTGTAAGCAATGGACAGGTGATCTAGAAGGACTAAGAGGACAAGTGCTTTGTGCAGAGGCTAGGCAGAACATTCTTTTGAGACCAGTGGTTCTTGTATCTAACCTGTGTGTTCTGGTGGTTGCAGAACCTGATGCCCCATTGCTTTTTCTGGTCTTATGTCCCTATCAAACTCTTCTGGTTTCTAGCCTTTTGTTGTGCTGCTCAGTTTTGAATTTGCTGCTTCTGCCTTGTTGTTGAGGTCTGGTAGGAGGAACTCAAGAGACTTTGGCAGATACTCTGTCTTCCTCTTGTTTTGGTATGTCTGGTGTCTTAAGAGCCCTTATCAACCAGAAAGAAATTGCAGAGAAAGCCCCTCAGTCCTATGGTGTGACTTGTTCAGGCAATCTCTGAAAATGACATGTACAGTTTGGTAATCTAGTAGCAGCAGCAGGGAGATAATTCTGCTTGCCCTTTAACTCTTTCAGATGATGTAATGATTAAAAATGGCCAGCTTTTTTGGTTTGTGTGTGTCCAGCTTTTCTAGCCAAACTGGTGCTGACTTTTCTCCAAAGAACTGTAGGAGTTGTGTAACAACATTTTCCTAGTACTGCCTTCATAAAAGACAAAAGTATTGTTTGAAACATCATATAAAATGGACAGAAAACTTAAATGAATTTTGAGTTGCCAAGGAATTGAAAACAGCGGACACTATAATTACTGTTACTTAGAATGTCAAATTGCTGTTTATGAAAAGTACTTTATTGAAAAGGCATGGAAATTATTTGAGATTTTGGTGGGGGGAAAAATTAGAGCAATATTTCGTGTTAACCATGGTCAATTAAGTTGTAAAACAAGCAGCTAATGTTTTAGCTCACACTTTATTGAAGCAGAGGTGAAATGTTGACCATATCTTTGGAATTGCTTCCTATATTTATGCTTCAGAACTGAAAGTTTAAGACCCGTAACATACTAGTTGGCCTTTTGCTTTTCCACAAGGAATGGCATCTCTTGCAGTTACATATCCATTTGTTGCTGTCTTAGTACTGTGTTGTATTATTGGTACTTCAAACTTGTGAAATTGATTTTTGATATTTTGGCATCTGAAGTCAGTTACCTGAAAGTTGGAACTGTGGTGTAGAAGGCCTACCTGAAATAACCTCAGTGAATGCCTCAGACACACCAAATAAAACTTTCAACAGCCTAACTCACTCAGCTGTAGGACCTGTTCTTTCCTGCTTGAAGTCAGCAGTGTGCTTTTTTTAGATTTTAATTTGTTGGAGGAAAAACTAGATTTAAAGAATGTGTAATCAACCAATTGTGATTTATCGTCAATGGTCTGAGTCTGGGTGCTATCGTAAGAAATAATGGCTGTCTTTATTAGGGTATACAAGTGAGCAGTGCGATAATTAGTTGATTAATCTGTAAGCTTGCAGTCTGACTTGAGCAGTGAAGAGATCTGAGGTTTTAGGTTGGACAATTCTACTAGCTCTCCCCTGCCTTAAAAATAGCTTATGTGATGCTGCTTTCCCTTCCCCGTGAAGGCTGGGGAACATCCAGTTGTTGTCCATAAGTTAGTATGCAATTTAATTAAAAAGTCAACCACCTGCGGACGAGAATAGGTTGCTTAAAGGTAGTGAATAGGGAAGAAGTAATCATACAGAACCTGGCAGATATGAAAAAGGAGTATCTCTTTCCATTGAATTTGACCACTAGATGACACCACCGCAAAAGAATACTTGCCTAATATCTGTGAGCAAGCAACACTAGAATGCTTTAAGAGAACATAGTGTTTTTAAAATGAACCTACTTACAGAATTAGTAGACAAAGTTCTCTGTTAGGAAGATTGCTGCATCTGATCATACATTAGATATAGGTTAACATCATTTCTCTGCTCTGAGTGATCTGATATTGACCATTGCCAAGCTAGGAAATGTAGTCACAGAGCAACCTTGTCTCTAAGTGAAACTTCTTTTGTTAACTCATCAATTGTTCGTCTGATGTCCCGATGCTTTAGGACTATTCGTAGTGGATTAACCAGTGCATTAGGCCAATTAAGAGATTTG